TATAAATGATAATAATAATATAAATAATAGAAATATAATAAAAGTTATGTTTGTTCTTTTTGGCAGATATGTCATATTTGGCAGATATATCATATACGACTGGTCTGTCAATTTCTGCCGGTTTCAATATTAAATATTATATTTTAAATATATTAGGATTTTTATTTCAATCATTTAACAAACTATAATACTATAATAACTAATATATTTATTATTAATAAAAATAAATTTAAAATTTCAGAAAAGTATAATTTAAGATATATAATAGTTAGCATATTAATAAATATAATAAAAAATATATAATAGTTGATGATATTTTTAGATAATTATCAATTGCAAAAATATTAAATAAGTTTTCAAAGAAAAATTATTAGTTAATAAATAAATCTATCTAATATATAAATAATATTTTAGAATATATAATAATATTAATTATACTATTATAGATAAAAAATAATATTATTGTAACCTGATTTTTAAGAATAACAGTCAATATTATAAGAAGTTAATTAAAATAGACATATTTTAAATATTACCTAAAATTCTATTAAAAATACAACTTTATAGAATAATATTAGAGTTTGTAAAATAAGAAATCAGATAGTTTTATAGTTATAAATTTATAGATTTAATAAATAATGTTTTAGAAAATTCTTGTAAATGTTTCTATAATTTATATTTATATTTAAATGTAAGATATAGAGATACAGTATATGAATATATATAAATAAAAGATTAAAAAGTAGAACCGCTAAATAGACTGTTAATAAATAATAAATTATATTATTGATTACCTGATATTATTAAAAATATAATGAATTAATATTAATAAATTGTAATTTTATTTTAGTTACCTTTATTAATGATTTTAATAATTTTTTATCTTTATAAATTAATAATAAAAATCAATATTTGATATAAATATTATATAAATAATTATTAAAAATATTTTTTTTAATAAAATACACTTAAATTTTATTTATATTTTAATTTTAATTAAATTTATTATACAGTTTTCAAAAAAAAGTAATGAAAATAAAATGTAGCGAAAAAAAACTTAAAAATTTTTCGCAATATATAACTTACAAAAAATTCTATCACGTGATGAAACAACATTCATTTTTGTTTATGATGATCATCATTGTTTTTGTTTATGATGATCATCATTGTTTTTGTTTTGTTTACATTTTGCTAAGATTATACTAAAAATATAATAGTTCGAATTATACTAAAATAACGCTATATTATAATAATCTTTTTATAAGAAAATAATATCTATGATGCCTAAACTTTACATAAACTAACTTCTATTTCTCTCTCTACTGTTTATAAATATATTAAAAAACTCAAAAAAAATATCACTTTAGACCTTTTACCTCAACCTGAAAAATCAAAGAAACTTTTTTCTAAAAAATGCTATTATCTTGATCAGTTTATCTTAATAAACAAATTCTCAACATGTACTGAGCTTGCAAATATTTTAAATATCAAGTATACCAACTTTGACATAACTGATTACAAAGTACTTAATGAGCTTCATGACTTCAATTATATTTGTTAAGTTCTAAAATCTATATCACTTTTTACAGAAAAATATAAACAGAAGCATATTAAATTTGCTATAAAATATAAAATCAAAACTGGAATAAAGTTATTTTTTCTGATGAAGCTACATTTCAAATATTTAAGAATACCTAAAAAGTATTCTACAAAGTTAGTACAAAACCTTCACAAAAGCCTATGGTAAAACATCTATACAAAGTTTATGTGTAAAATGCATTTTTAATCAAAGGTCAAATTAGCATTCTTCTTTTTACTAGAAATATGGATGGTATTTTTTATTGTAAAATTTTAAAGGAAAATCTCTTTGATAATGCTAATTCTATTATAGAAAGGTTTTGGGTATTCTAATAAGATAATGATTCTAAACACACAGTCAAGAAAATTAAGAAATTGCTAGCAGATCATTGTCTGAGGTTGATAGACTGACCATTAAATAGCCACAACCTCAATTGTATAGAAAATTTATGGAAAATAATGAAGAGCTGTGTAGAGAAAGAGGTTAACTAACTGGTAGCTAAAAAAAGTTCAATTACTGTAGATGTTTTTGCAAGATAATTCAAAAAAATAGGAGGAAGTTGAGCCTAAAATTTTTGTTAATTTAATCTGTAACATGCCATTGAAATTAGAATAGATAATCGAATGAAATGGTAATAAGGCAGATTACTAAATAATTTTTAGGGATATAATCATAATATGATGAATAATATTTTATAAATTTTTCATGTATTTTGACCTTTATTTATTACGCAATAAATAAAAATATAATTCTTATTATTTTTTTCAAGAACTGTAATTTGATTTTTTTAATAATTTTTATCTTAGATAATTTTTTTTTATTAAAAATTATCTTTGAATATTTGAATTAAATTATTAAATTATTATTAATAAAAAAAATTAAAAAAGAAAAATAGGTTAATTTAATAATTATAAAATAATTTTATAAATATAAAATATAATATTGATTAATTTAATAATTTTAAAAAATCTTTTAAAAAATCTAAATACTTGATATTTATTTTAAAGACTATAAAAATTTGTAATATTTATTAAATTATTTTAAAATCTAAATTTTATTAATTGAAAAATTTGTTAAGAAAATCAGGTTCTGGAAATTTTTTTGATTAAAATTACTTTACAGAAATATGATTTTCTTAATATGCAGTAACTGTAAAATGACTATATAGTAAATATATAGTTACTATCTTACTTAGTAATAGCTTAATCACAGCCTAATAGGTACTATACAGTTACTGCATAGTAAGAAAACAAAGTTTCTGTAAAGTAAGATCTTATTACATTTTAAGCTAATAACTTCAAAAACTAAAGTGTAATAAAAATTAAAATTTTGTTAAAAAATCCTAAAGCCTGATTTTTTCTAGCAAGCTTTTCAATTATTAATCTATAAAATTTTAAATTTTATAGTATTATTTTAAATTAATTATTCATAATTTTTATTTTAAATTTCTATAAAGATAACTTTTAAAATATTTTTAAATAGATAAATTTATTAATATATTTTTATTTAACATTAATATTTTTTATTTATATAAGATATTAAAAAAACCTTTTTTTTTTTTAAATTTAGTAAAAAAAAAAAAATCAATATGACATTAACATTTATATAAATAAATCATTTTTTTTTTTGTTGCAAAACAGATAAAAAGAAATATTTTATCAAATTTCTTTAAATTGATAATTCTTTATTTAATATTGATAAAAGATAAATAATTTATAGAATAATTGAATGCTAAAGTTAATAGAATTATATAATATATTGAAAATGTTAAAGATATAAATAAAATTGGTAGACTAGTTATTTATGTAATTTTTTTTAATGTTTTAGGTTTAATAATCTTTAGAGATTTAGGTAAATTTAGTAAGCTAGATATTTGAGTAGATTCACACAGTCAAGAGTTTTTAAAGAGTTAGGTAAAGTTGGTAATATAGTTAAATCTGTAAATGAGCAGTCGAGTATCGTTAAGGAGTTAGGTAAATTTGGTAAGCTAGTTATTTTAGTACTATAGCAGCGAAGTTCTGTTAAAGAATTAGGTAATTTTGGTAAGCTAGTTATTGGAGAATTGTTAATGAGTCAGGTAAATTAGGTAATCTAGTTATTAAAGTTCTATAGCAATGGAGAACTGTTAAGGAATTAGGTAAAGATTGTAAACTAGTTAATTTAGTAGAATAGCAGAGGAGGTCTGTTAAGGAGTTCGGTAAAATTGGTAAACTAGTTATTGGAGTATCTGTACACCTGAGCTTCGTTAAGGAGTTTGGTAATGTTGATAAGCTTGTTATTTCGGTATTATAGCAGAGGAGAGTTGTTAACTTTCGATATCTTTGTAATCCTCCTGAGGTGTTAAATATCTCATCTTTATTAGCATCAGTAATTTGTAATTTATCTGTAGTATCATCGTAAATAATATCTGATATTTCATCATTTGATTGAATAATTTGAGATATATCTCCGTGCAAAGAATTATTATTACTTGCAGAAACATCAATATTAAATAAATGAAGTTGTTGTTGTTCTGATAATCGAGGATTTGATTCATAATTTTTCAAATCGATATTTTGAATATTTCCAGATAATTCTTCATGTAATGAATTATAAATACTGGAAGAAGCATTGACACTATTTCTACTAATTTGTTGTTCTGGTTGAATCGTTTCATCATCGTAAATAATATCTGATATTTCATCATTTGATTGAATCATTTGAGCTTCATCTCCGTGCAAAGTATTATTACTTGTAGAGACATCTATATTATTCGAATTAAGTTGTTGTTCTCTTTAATTTGAAATGTCGATTTCTTTAGTAGCACCATTTGACCTCAGTATTTGGTTAATATCATACTCGTTTTAGGTGACTTCCAACGCCTTTTAAATTTGGTTCGAGTTGGTCTTTGAAAATCATGATGAAATTCTTGCAACCTCAATAATTTCTTTGTCAACTCGTTCTTTTTCACTTGTTTGCTAGCCCACATAACTCTCTTGTTACATTTATCAGCCCATTCCCCTCCGAAATCAACTAATTCGTATCTCATATAACAACTGAGCTATATACGTTGACAATGATTTTTGAACTAGTAGTAAAAAATTGTTCCAAAATTTTTCTTCGTCTATTCAGGTTTCGACAAACGATCGTTAAGAAACAAGTTTTTTTTTTGATAGCTAATACGTAACAGTATGATGAATGTCAACAATTGAATATTGACTAAAAAATTTAAAAGAATAAATGAATATACATGTACATATATAAAATTTACAAAAAATAAATTAACATACATATTACTAATACCTACAAAACTATATCGGAACGTTGCCAGTCAATTCACATTATGGATCTATATCTCCTTACTAGATTTTACTGAAAGCGGCCATGTAATCGTTCTTCAATTACAAATATCTACGTTTCATTCAAGAAAGTTTTCGGATTTTGTGCGAACTATCATCCATTCGTGACGATGAGTCCAGATCTAAGAAATGTTGTAAAGCAATAAATTATTTGCTTCAATTCTAAAGATTATGTTTTTAATAGCGAAGTTACCTGTAATAATAATGATCCAACATTAGCTGTAAATCGTTGAATAAAAGGTGAAAGCAACTAAAAGAATTTCGAAATTCTTAATAGTCATATTTTTTCTAAAGACTTAACCCATGCTATTTCACTTTCGAAGCCTTCGATAGATTCTATAGTAGTACGATAATAACCTCTTGATATTAATATTTGGATCATAACCACATCATCCGTCAATCCGTAAAATGCTTGTTAATATTCTTTAATATTTAAAATAAATTCTTCTCAACAATTCAAAAATATTTTCCGGCTTATTTTAGATTTTATATCAACAATCACTTTTCAAGAATCCTTAAAAGATCTTTAATATTATTTTCAAGAATAATTTGTCATGATTCTATAATTGAGCTTCCAATTTGGATTTATTTCATAACAATTCAATCGTTATTGGTTAAAGAAATAAAATTCGTCATCGTCAACCAAATGATTACTGTAATTTACGTTCTTAGTAACAAGGTACGCCCATAATCTGATTTATTCCAAAGCTTCCATACAGTATATTTTGAACGTGTTAATTATAATAATTTCATTGACTATAATTTTTCTTAAGCTAGTTGGAATCTTTCGGCGTATTAAAAAAAGCTATTAAGCGTTATATACAAAAATACTTTTATTATTCTGATAAATATTTTACTTACAGTTTAAAAACTTTCCAATGATACTTTGGACAACATAATTTGATTTTACGCTCGTGAAATTTTTTTTTTACGATTCTTTTTTTTTTTTAAAAAAAAAAAGGGGGGTTACTGAGCATCATGGTACAAAAAAGATTCATATGGTATGGATCGCTGTTATATACAATAATGAGAATATGTTTTTATTTCTTTTCGAATTCCTTTGTAGAGAAGTAGTATAGTTAATTGCGCAATAATTTTTGAAACTTGAAGATATGACGATAATTAAAATTAAGGTAATGTATGTCATTATATTATGTTCGCATAATTAAATTTATAAAATAATACGGTATTGTCACGTTGAGCGTAATTTGTTACTAGCCATGGAGTTTCGCTAAGACATCCTTTGTATAAAGGTTATATTTATTTTATCTCAAACATTTAAATTCCCTATAAAATTAGGACATTTCGTGAGAATGATGTATTGAATTTCTCTTAGTGAAACTTTATGTGTTTGTAAATATAAATTATAGCGCGCAACTGCCATTTAATGACTAAAATGGTTGATCAACTAATTTGAACGCTTCGGACGCTCCAACGGTTCCCGTTACCTAGTTTTTTTAATAAAATAAAATAAAAATATAAATCATAAGAACTTTTTTTTTTCCATTATTTTTGAGATAAATTTTATTCAAACAAATTTTTACTAATAATATAAAATATTATAAATTCAATGAAGGTCGCGCACGTGAATGAAAAAATTTTTACAAGATCGACACCAATTTTGTGAAACGAAGATTAATATATATATCCAATAATTCCTTTTCCATCAAAAAAAATTTTCTCACGCTATTACCACCCGAAGAAAAGAAAAAAAATCTCTGCTAGTAGTTAGATAAATACACATAAATTAAGATATAAGTGTCGGCAACTCTTTTAGAGCGGAACGACATTATTCTTAATTTAATATGAACAGA